TTCCGCGCTTCATCGGACGGCATTCGGGTCGATGGTCTACCGCTTTGTCCCCTGTCTCCACCTGAGTTTCTGGAGTACATTCGTCGACTGTAACGTAATGAAGAACGGCCTAGAGCTACATCAAGATTGTGTTTAAAGATCTGAGGACGTTTCATTCACCAGTATTGTTCTTTAATTTGTTCCGTGCACACAGTGTGTATCTTTCCTCTTCAGGCACTGAGAAGGCCACTGCGAGGGGGTGATTGATATGACTTCACTATTCTTCGTTTTGAGCCATAATGTTTAAAATGACACATTCCGGATTTTAGTTATGTTTATATTTAGCAATAAGCACACACACACATTGAGACGCAGTACATACGTGTGGGTTCCGTAGAGGACAGCGCTGCGAGCATAATTGCAGTGACGAAGGGGCGCGTCCTGTCGCCAGCGAGCGGTGGAGGCGGCTTGTCCTGGGCGAAGGGAGGTTCCATCCGCCTGAGAGGGGCAGGGCGGGGAATCTGCTGGCCAGGCCAGAGAGGAGATTGGGGTTTTCCCTGAGTAGCAGCGGCGGTGAACATTTGTGCGATCAACGTGCACTCAGAAGTCATGAGGTACTGTGTTATTATGTGCGACCAGAATCAGAATCTCTCTGAATATCCGTCACGGTTCGACATCAGAAATTTAATGGTTTGCGGAAGTTCTATTAAAGTGACAAGGAGAGTTATCAGTAGAACGTTTGTATTTCTTTGGCCAAAAATATGTAATTAGATGTCATTGTATTGTGAGGATAATGCAGCACATAGCAGGACACTATATCAATCATTCATGTGAAATATTTTGCGTGGTTTGCCGTTACAAAACGGACTGTAAGACGACTAACGACTACGGAAAAAAGTACGGCGCCAGAATCGCGTGAATTGTATCTATGCGAACGTAATATCACGAAAGCTTTATATCACGGTATCAGTGTCAGTTAATAAATCCAATGTTTTCAAATGAATGCGTCAGTTTTTACGTTGTGTTTGAAACCATAGGCTTCCCCTAATGAAGATCCCTGCCCTGCAGATGCCATAAACGAATTTTTATTTCGTCCTATTACCACGTCGTTAAACGGGTGGTGCTCAGAAGATGCCGAGGACGAACGAGCGGCATATATATATATATTCAAAGATATGTACATTATTTCTTCCTAGGATGTCTGCATATGACGCGAAATTCATGTAACAATCTTTTACATCTCACATTGTTGACACAGGCATAACTAATGTTTATGAAATTCAAGACTCCGAGAAAATACTTATTACTTTGATTGGACTTCACATGTATTTATCGTTTTTGAGCTGTCCGTATTTCGATGTAACGCGATAGCAGTCACTTTTTTCGGTTTCCTGCACTGCTGATTCGTCCACCAGAGCTTAATTACAAGGGGGTTTGCGCATGTAGCTCATAATCTGGTGCCTCAGGAAATAATCTCACGAACAATATGAACTAAATTCATGTGGTGGAAATTCAATTGCCTTGGGAGAAACAAGAATGAGCTACTGGCTATTATAGCTTGTTATACCCTATAAATACGGTAATAGCGATTTCATTAGCATAGTATTGCACGTTATTGCTAAAACGTGGATTAATATTATAAAATAAAAATCATGAATCGTCTTTAGGAACTAGACATTTCCTCGTCTTTTATAAATTAAAAATATACGTCAATTTTCAATACTGATTAACAGATGTTCACTTTCCTGTTATAAATGAATACTGCCGTATCTACATAAATTGGATTGCAGATTCATGTTTTCGGATGTTACCAACACTATTGGATAAACAGTACAAGCTTTCAGGTGCCGATGTTTAATGTCATTCATCTGGCATTCATTTAAATATAATGAAAATAGTGTTTATTCTTGAGCGTTTGAACTGTGTGTTGTGCTGAAGGTAATTTTATGACGTAATTGTGTTTATATTCGTAGAAACTGCTACCATAATTGCTTTTGTTGTGTAAGTATAAAATTAAAATATTAATGACAAAATTGATAAAATTAACAAATTAACATTGTATATTGGTAAATTATGTATGGCAATAGTCTAACCTTGCCATGCCATTTTATTTGTGCCAGTGTATTTTAAGACGTGATTTAATTTTTTAATGTTCATATTATAACATCTTTCAAAAACTAATTGATAGTTATTATGTCATAGTAATAAAAACTCATAATAATTTGATAACAAGAAGAGCAGTATTCACAGAAATGTTCTAAATATTTCTTGCTAATGGAGAATTTTCTTCGAATTCTTAATATATTTTGTTCTTACTTATTACACTTTTCTAGGTGTTTTCCTTTCTCGATGGTTGAACAAGCAAATTACAAGTTGTGAAACGTGAAAAATAGAATCCAATTTTTTTAACGTTTACACGGCAAACAACTAACAAGCACTTTCTTTACCGTGGCAATGCGAATTTAATGAAGGGCGTTCTAGGAAATGAAACAGATCTGAAAGAGAACTTACCGTGCACGTCGACACAGCCGACTTGCTTCTTCATAATTTCCGTGTTGACCTGGCACATGTAGCAGCCGCGGTCCGACTCCTTCACCTGGCGAATGTGCAGCTGCCACAGGCGCTGATTGTCGTGGGACACGGTGATTCGCGAGTTGTGGGTCACGACCTTGGTGTGCAGAGTCAGGATGGTTTGATCTTCCGCTTTCAGCCAGCCCACCTGCGCAGACAATGCACAAACCTCCTTTTAGTTTGGCTCAACATGGCGGTTAACGCAGAAATCCCTATGGACAGGTGATTAGAAGGTCTATTCTATATACATAATACAAAAATTAACATTTTACATGTCGAAAACAAACCTTAAAAATTAAATAAGTTGAAAAAATGTGTTACTCAAAAATGGGAAAATATCCTTCTACCTCCTGTCTTACCAAACCAATGTAAGTATACATATGAGAGACACTGAAAATGTAGAGAATGATCACGAAACGTGTATGAGGCAAAGAAAAATTAGAATTAATTGGAAATACGTTTTTATTGTGAAAGATTACTACCTCTATTTACACACCGTTTTATATTGAATATCTTGCTCAATGCTCTATGGTCAATGATCGTTGATCTTAATTTTTTTAATACCACATCCAGTATTTTATGTTTTATTACATTCAATAGTTCTTGAGAAATATTTTGTTTTTTGAACTAAATTGTTTTTTTTACGTACGTTTATAACTGCCCTTCATTTTTAAAATTGTAAAATTATTTAACGCATTTCACGTTAGTCAGATTAACTACATTAATAATAATTCAATATGTCGCTTTAAAATATTATACGAAAGCGGATTTTGTCTCAAAAATCATATTAATTTCAAGTGATATTTTTGAAGACTGTTTTGGATATTTTGAAGGTAATTCTATAATATAAAATTTTTCCAATTGAAAAGATCTTCTGAGAATATAAGTATGCTTCATAACGGTAATACGATCAGTACCAAATGTATGCGGACAGATATGAACATATCCGATCGTTTTGGAAATGACAAGAACAATAGCAATTTTAAATAGATATAAAAATACAGGTGGCAAGTATTACATACATTTTTTAATACAAATATTCATAAATCTATAATTCTATATGAAGTTTCCGCTTGTTAAATCAGTTCCTATTTTTACGTTAACAACCACTAAAAATGAAGATTTACATTGGTCACGAAAAACAACTGTTCTGCAATATTTATTTTTAGGAAGTGGCTATGTGTTTAAAACCAGTATCACACATGAATTCTGTAAACAATTTTAATTAAATACGGATATAAACGCAAGCGCCAACAAACATTTCAAAAGCAAAACATTTCAAAATATTGGAAAATTATTGTATGTCGCGGATTCTGTCATGCTGTGACGTTGATACCACAAGAGCTTGAGAAGCTTACAAACAAATGTTTACAATGTATATTATCATGTACATATGACATTTTTCAAGCCTCTGTTTGATTTATAATTAAATGTGTAAACTATGATATAAGTATTTACTTGAGAGCATGTCTGTGTTACAATTCTTCCCTAATCATAGCATTGTGTTAAAGTATTCAATAAAATTTATTACAATAGATAATTATTCTGAAGTTGTTAAAAAATAAAATTAAATTTTTGAAATAACTTTTGTAATGAATTATAACACAATTTTAACAACATTAATGTGTATAAAAAATATTTTATTTTTCAATTACACTCTCATATTCACGAATTTGAAAATGTAACTTACTGTTAATTTAGAAGCATTAATACTAAAATAACCTGCAAAACTGAGAAACTAACGCATACTGAAATTTTTCCTCCTCTTAGTGTTATAAATCTACAACTATTCATATTATATATTGTTTTAATTGTCAATGCCGTAATTTAAAGATCTTAAATTTTGGCATAATTTGCGTTGGAAAATAAATTCTGGTTTTAATGTTGGAGGTGTGAACAGGTTTGAATCATTTTTGAATTTGGCAGTTTTCAATAGTTGAATGCTTTTAATAAAAATGTGATTTTTAATTGACTCCTAAATTCACTACAAAAAAAATAAAAACAGAAATTGCACACATTTTAATGTTAATTTTGAAAATATCACGAAGATTCTTGTGGAGTACCCAACAAAATTAATATTTCTTGATGATCCCTGGAACGGTATTACTAAATCTTACTCTTGAGATGTTTACCGAGGTTGAGCTCAAAAGCTCATAATCTCTCCGAGTTATTACACCCATCCGTTCGCCCTTCCGTCCGTCAATGAACTCTCTAACCGTCCATCTATCCGTCAATATAATCGGCCCAACCAGAAATCACGATTTTGGGGTAGAAAACCATGTATACCTCCTCGACGCGTGTTCCAATCTTAACCATCTTTGAAGAAACACTAATTTATCGTTCTCCTCACAAGTGTACGAAGTTGCAGTGATAAAACCTTAGGCACGGATCTTAAGAACACAAATTTTAGATCGTATTCTTGAGATGATTCCAATATTTTTCTCCCTAGAATACTCATATAGTTAAGAGAAGAAAAGTGACAATACTGTCCGTGTTCTAGGACAGAAACAGTTGTTTCCTTTGCTACAAGCATTTGCCAAATAATTCATTATGAGAGAACCGTGTGGGACGCTAATTAGGACGTTCATGTAAGAGACTTGTAGATTTGGTTCATGCGTTCTGTTAAGTATTCTCTTTATAGCATTCAGAAATGTTTCATTATGTGCGAGACGATTGATTGTCATCCCGTTTATGAACAGAAATGTGACACTATCATGATTGAATAGAGTTACCTAATTGGCGAAATTCATTTGAAATATAAATATTAGAAAAAGGGATTGACATTTCAATAATTTCAATTCGTATGAAAGTTAATACCTTTTAATTCCGTGTTATTATCTTAACTCTTGACAACCTCAAAGAAATAATGTTTAAAACTAGGCAGTTTCAAAGTGAAAAATGTGCAATTAAACGAATATCAAACATTAAAGTCAGAGTTGAATCACTTTAAATATTTCATAAAATTGTGACAGTGCACATTTCTGTAAGAAGCAAGATGATGTGCCTCGAGAACCGAGTACAAACAATGAAACCCTTGCGATCAATTTTAGAATGTGTAAGGGCTGACCGAGTACGGAAGGATATAATAAGAAGCAAGCTGGACGTTAAGTTTATTATGGGAAATCAAGGACTACCTGATCAAATGGCGAATCCATGTGCAAAGAATGGATGTATGAATGATTTACAAAAGTGGTGCATGTTAAGAAAAACGTCGAAATCTGGTTAAATTATGAATGCCGGTTAATGTTCACATTACCCAAAAAAGGGTTGTCTTGCTCAAAGTTGATAACGCTTTAAAACAAACTCCGAAATTTATCCAAATAAAGGACACATTAGCTAACACATTAGCTAACACACTGCAGCTGAAATACATGAAGTAGGTTGCGATGAGATAAATACAAATCAGAGTGCAGCTGATGGTGAAACTCTTCTATGGGTAGTAAGATACAAGGGAGGTAATATCGACTTCTTCTGTGTCAGTTGCAATTCTTTATTCACAGGATACCACGTAACATAACCTCACAGAATACTTGTAAAAGTTGGCCAATGATCTCCGAGTTAGGGCGATGAGGCTCCAGCAATTTTGATTTACATAAAACAGCTTTTTGTCTGTCCAACCTCTAATTTACAATGAATTTTTATGTCCAAATGGGGAAGTAGTTCCCTACTGAACACACAAGACACTTCACACTTGGAGAATTTCCTTACTTTAGCTATCACCTAGTAACTGATGTTGACATTGGCCAAACGTCAAAAATGATCCGTTCATCGTCACTTACAAAGATTTATTAAAACTTTGGAGATAATGTGCGAATTAGCTGGCTAATTTCTGAATTAACCGTATTTTAAACTCAAGCCTTAATATCCTTTTGGTATTCTGTGCGTGACGAATAGGAAATTGGCAGTGAGCGCTCTTTATCCACCACAAATTTTATATGAAGTGGGATGTAAATACTGGTACATAAAACTATAAATCCAGTGTTCAGACAGCTATGTAAAACTTTTTGTAGGTATCAACAATTAGAAATTGACAAACCAGATTTAATATCCATTTTCGCAATGACATATTTTCTAACAATAATGTTTGTCGGTGTTGTTATCCTTCTGCAGCATTCACGGTTTCACAACAGCCGCTCAACCCTCATAGAATTTTTGTGTGGCCTCAACTGTTCTTTGTCGACTCGCGTTTACAGCTCTCACTTGTAATATAAATATGATGAACACGAACTTCTTCATACACAACACGACACGACACAACCAACGAAAGCGTAAATACTCGGGCAAGCAGCCATATGGCAAACGCGACATATAATTTCTCTCCCAAAATTATTTTCGAATGAACAGGATGCGCCGTGTTGGGCGGTGATTGTTCGTGGGTATTGCAAGAGACTTCCCTGGCTGTGTATGAGTACGTGGGGTCGAATAAAAGGGGAAGGTTTTAACAGGGGTTCCAAAAGCATTTATTCACCGACCCTTTCACACATTTCACTATTTCACCCACATGTTGTTGTTGGAAAACTACCACTGTTTCGAGTACAATTTTAGAAATTTATAAACACCTTTTTTATCAGTGTACATGCATGAGTGTTCAAGTTTCTCCGAAAACGCCAAATGAAGGGCAAGTAAACTTTTTATCGTTTTTTGATTAACGATCTCTGTAATAGTACATTTATAGACATATTCTGATGTCTGAAAATAATCATTTAAAATTTGTGCTTTGCCCTACTCTCAAGATATTAATGAAAAGGAAGCACTGGTATTTTTATTTATTTAGAAGTTATCTCAATGCCATATACCCTGTTAATGCTTCATAACAGTTTCCAAACTGCCTAGGGATTCCACAGGGGCCATTTTGGGGACCCCTGGTTTAAAGCAAACTACTGCTCTGCCCGTACCTCATCCTCCGCGGACTGCCCGCAGTTGACAATCTCGTCAGATCGTCATAAAGTGGGGCTGTGGGGCTGTAGTGTGGAGCTGTTAAAAATGTGGCGGGCAGAGCGGAGTGGTGACGTGCGGGCAACCCCTGCCCCCGTCACTTCGCATTTTCGCGCGACGCGTCGCCGCCGTCATAGCAGTGGCCTTTGTAGCAGGAGCGACGGCCCCGGACATGGCCGCCCACACCACGTGACATGGCTCGTATGGAATTTC